ATAACAGCAATTTTTCATGAGGATAATATACTAATATCCCAATATCATTGGGATTCATACCAGGAATGCTGGGCTGGTTCAATATTAGGAAAACTAACATCATAATTAACTATATCAATAATAAAACCAACAGAAATCATATGATTATCTCAATAGATACCGAAAAACTTTTGACAAAATACAACACTCATTCCTATTAAAAACACTAGAAAGCATAGGAATAAATGGAGCTTTCCTTAAAATGATAAGCAGACTCTAAAACTATCAACAAGCAAGATCTGTAATGGGGATAAGCTAGAAGTCTTCTCAATAAGATCACGGGCTCAGGGCAGCTAGGTGGCACAGTGCTTGGAGCACTGGCCCTGGAGTCAGGAGAACCCCGAGTTCAAATCCAGACTCAGACACTTGACACTTACTAGCTGTGTGACCCTGGGCAAGTCACTTAACCCTATTGTCTAGCCAAAAAAAAAAAAAGCAGATAGGAAACAAGGATGCCCATTATCACCACTTTTATTCAATATTGTACTAGAAATGTTAACTTTAGCAATAAGAGAAGAAAAAGAAATTGAAGGAATTTGACAACGCAATGAGGAAACAAAGCTATCACTCTTTGCAGATGATATGATGGTATACTTAAAGAATCAATTAAAAAACTACTTGAAATAATTAACAACTCTAGCAAAGTTGCAGGATATAAAATAAACTCACATAAATCACCAGTATTTCTAATATATTACCAACAAAGCTCAGCAAGAAGAGGTAGAAAGAAAAATTCTATTTAAAATAACTGTAGACAACGTAAAATATTTTGGAGTGTACTTGCTAAGACAAACCCAGGAACTATATGAACACAATTATAAAACACTTTTCACACAAATAAAGTCATATGTAAACAACTGGAAAAATATCAATTGCTCATAGGTAGGCCGAGCTAACATAATAAAAATGATAATTCTACCTAAATTAATATACTTATTCAGTGCCACACCATTCAAAACAAAAAATGTTTTATAGAACTAGAAAAAACAATAAAATTCATCTGGAAGAAAAAAAAGGCCAAGAATATTAAGGGAATTAATGGGGGAAAAAATGCAAAGGAAGGTTGCCTAGCTATACCAGATGTAAAATAATATTTTAAAGCAGCAATCATCAAAACTATTTGTACTGGCTAAGAAATAAATTAGGTATACAAGACATAGTGGTCAATGATTATAGCAATCTACTGTCTGATAAACCCAAAGACTTCAGCTTTTGGGATAAGAACTCACTATTTGACAAAAACTACTGGGAAAGCTAGAAAACAACATGGCAGAAAGTAGGCACAGATAAATATCTCACACTGTATACTAAGATAAGGTCAAAATGGGTACATGATTTAGACACAAAGGGTGATACCATACTCGAATTGGGAGAGCAAGAAATAGTTTACCTGTCACATCTATGGAGAAGGACAGAATTTATGATCAAATGAGAGGTAGAGAACATTATGAAATGCAAGATGGAGAATTTTGGTTATGTTACATTAAAAAAAAATTTTGCACAAACAAAATAAATGCAACCAAGATTAGAGGGAAAGCAAAAGATGGGAAACAATTTTTACAGCCAATGCTTCTGACAAAGGCTTCACTTCTCAAACATATAGAGAAACAAGTCAAATTTATAAGAATACAAGTCATTCCCCAATTGATAAACTGATATCCCCAAAGGATATGAACAGGGAGTTTTCAGATGAAGTCTCTATCTATAGTCATATGAAAAAAAAAATGCTCTAAATCACTACAGATTAGAGAAATGCAAATTAAACATGACAGAAAAGGAAAGTGATAAATGTTAGAAATGGGGGACAACTGGGACACTAATGCATTGTCAGAGTTGTGAACTGATCCAACCATTCTGGAGAGTAATTGGGAACTATATCCAAAGGACTATAAAACTGTGCATACCCTTTGATCCAGCAATATCAGTACTAGATCTGTATCTCAAAGAGATCATAAAAAAGGGGAAAATATCTACAGGTACAAAAAATTTGTAGCAGCTCTTTTCATGGTAACAAAGAATTGGAAATTGATGGAATGCCCATCAACTGGGGAATGGCTAAACAAGTTGTGGTATATGGATGTAATGGAATACTATTGTGCTATAAGAAATGATGAACAGGCAGATTTCAGAAAGACCTGGACTTACATGAACTGATACTGAGTGTAGTGAGCAGAACCAAGAGAACATCCTATGCAGTAAAAGCAACATTGTGTGATAATCAACTGCGGGTGACTTAGCTCTTCCTAGCAATATAATGATCCAAGACAATTCTAAGGGACTCATGATAGAAAATGCTATCCACATCCTGAGAAAGAACTATGGAGTCTGAAGGCAGATTGAAGCACACTATTTTCACTTTTCAGGGTTTTTTGTGTCTTTTCCCTTTAACTCTGTTTCTTCTTTCACAACATGAATAATATGGAAAATATTTTTACATGATTGCACATTTATAATCTATATCAGGTTACTTGCCATCTTGGGGAGGGGGTGTGTGAATGAGGAAGGGAGAAAAAATTTGAAACTCAAAATCTTATAAAGAATGAATGTTGAAAACTATCTTTACATGTAACTGGAAAAAAATAAAATACTATTTACCAAAAAAAAAGAAAAAATGAAAAATAAACTAGAGAGGAGTTCACCAATGTACCACTTCAAGTTATTATAAAATATGACTATCTTCAGAAAACATTGCCATTTATCTGGTAGTGAAACATTAATCTATATGAAGTATATTTGTCCATTTTCAAGAATTATTAACTAGTGACTTCATATTCAATATAAACTAGCTGATGATGATTCATAAATATGACAGGAACACTACTGTTTTATTCCAAAGACAGGTAAAATCCAGTAACCTGATCCAAAGATTACTTTATGATGGCATAACTAACCTGTTTATTCAACCTGATACCACCCAAAACGTTGCTGGAATAACCTTTAGTCTCCCCAGGGTTTATACTGGACAACTGGATTCATTACTAGACTGGGCAATAAAATGTAGTAAAACATTTATGCCAATTTCTTCATGTGATTCCATGTCTTGATTTGAGCATTCAAATTTCACCACCTCCCTTTCTTGCCCTTGAAGTAACAAGCTTCACAAAAATAAATTTCCAAAATGAAATCTAAGTCTGAAGTACCCACTACATTCTAACAAAAGGAATGTAATGATGTTGATGATAGACATAAAGTCCATAGTGCCTCTAAGTCTTGAACAAACTAGATTTTTGCCATTTTTTCTGAAGTCGTTTAATAAAACCACATTGATTTTCACAGATTTAAAAATATAGTGGGATTTTTCATAATTCTCAGATTTTTAACTCCAGGAACATCAGATTGGTTTTGAAATAGAGCCTGGCTACTGTTGCCTAGTTATGCCTGAACGGTACTGACCTAGAAAGCTCATGTCAAATCCCAGGTACCAAATAAGCTTAGGGTTGGCTAATGGCGTTGCTCCCTAGCCAACATTAGAAGGGCCTCAACCTCTGCCACTGAAGGATGCACTATGATAACATCCTGTCTATTAGAATTCACTTTGCTTTTGAAAGTTTCGATACCTTTTATTTTTATATCACTCTTTCCCAAATGTACCCCTTTCCCTCTTTCCCAACCAGTAAACCCCTCCCTTATAACAACTACAACCAGTTGAGCAAAACAAAGAGAGACATCTGCCCCCCACAACATTCCACACCCATGGTCTCTTACCTTTCCATGGAAAGGAGGGGAATACATTTCATCATTTCTCCCAGAAGCCAAGCCTGATCACCATAATCACAAAGCCTTCAGTTTCTCCCCTCCCAGCCTTTTTTTTTTTCCCCAAATCGCTTCCAGGATTTACAGCTTCTACTTAGGACTTTGAACCCTTGCGTGGGATCCATATAGCAGATATGATTTAAAAAAAAAAAAGGCCTGGGTCAGGAATCAAGACTTGTATTCTGCCACTAACTAGCTGTATAACCTTGTCCAGTCTACAGAGCATTTATGGGCTCCTCCTCTCGAAGCCCTCTGTGGTTACTTACAACTTTAAAACTATATGAAAATCCCCAAATGAAACCTGCTCTTCTCTCCCAATGCAGAATTGCTCTAAGGTACAAGAGTTATGCAGTCTACTGCCGGTCCACCTCCTCTCTCCGCACAGGTAAATATCCTATTTCTAGGGCGAGTATCACCTGGAACCCAGTAGCGGGGAGCGACTTAGTTCTGCCCCCATGTTGTCCTTCTGAAGTCTCCTTTCTCTTCCTCCCCCAAGAACTGACAATGAGAAGAAGTGGGGTTGCAGGATACCTCTGCTCCTTTTTCGCAGTTTCGGGAACGTCGCAGGTCAGACCATTAGATCCCTAGAGCTCGATGGAGCCCCAGGTTCAGGAAGTATCAAGTGGCATTAGCAGGCCGCTCCCCGCCTGCCTTATGCATAATTCATAAGCAACATATCTGGCTGCCCATACGTGCTCCAGTGTGCTGGGGGAAGGTGGGAACTGGAGAAAAGTACTATCCTCATTCCTAATGTAGGGCAACCTAAGCAAGCTCTCAGAACCCAGTCGCCCTGCCAGGTTTCCATGCCCAGGCTCGGGCTACTAAGCACCAGCAATCAGAAGCTACGAGCTGCCGCTAGCTCAGGTAAAGGCGCAGGAGCGGTAGTATTTGCCGCTGCAGCTGCTGCTACTCCCCGGACCCGCATGTCCTCTGGCCCACGGACTTCCTCTCTAGTTTCAAAACGCAGACACAGGCGCCATGATCAAAGCTGCAGGGAGTTTGGCTCCACAAATCCTGAGCTGGGCGGCGCGGACCTCAGGGCCAAGTAGGAAGGTAGGCATGCCGAAGCCAAGACTCACTCGCCCTTTCGCCATCTCCCGCCTCTACAAAGTGGAGGAATCCTGCCCTGACACCCGGCCCTCCCAGTGCTCTACCTTCGGAGGAAGGGCACAGCAGCTCGCAGAGAAGCCCAGTCTGCCTCCGCCTACCTGAATTTGCTGTAGGGGCTGCGGTAAGCGCTGCTGCTGCGGCTACCTTCAACACCTCTTCTGGCAACCTTGGAGAGAAGTTTGGCTGTTAAGCCCAGGCGGCTCCGTTTAAAGCTCTAGCAGCTGAGTCAGGGAAGCCAGAGCCCCAGGGCCCGGGAATAGCCACTATTGGACTGTGGGAGGAGTCAGAGAGAAGCTTCTGACTTGGGGCATACTGGAAACCCGGTGCTAAGAGAAACTATTGTGGGATCAGGGTCCTTCCGAGCACGCCTGCCTCATCTCTGAAGACCTGGGTGCAAGTTCTGCCTATGACACATACTGCCTGTGTGACCTTAGGCAACTCTGTTAGACTGTAAGTTTCAGAAAAGCCGCCAACTTTGATTGGAATAGGAAAATTCCTCACTGGAAATTTTTTACCCAGATGGAATAACAGGTTCGGTTATCTCTCTCCGTAATCCCTCCCTCTAGTCAACCCATCGCACTTCTAAACCATATCCTGGTAACCTGTAATTTGGGAAGAATAATTCCCCAGGGAAGGAAGGAAGAAAGAAAAGGAGAAATAAAGGGAGGAGTGAGAAAGGGGGCTGAAAACCATCCTAAACGATTTGCTTAAACCTCTTCCAGGAGGTTTGCAATATGCTAAGTCTTGATGCATTAAGCATAATATCCTTGGCAAAAAAAAAAAAAAGCATCTGAAAGATTTCACCATCCACAGGTAAATGACCTGAGCTGATCTGACTGTAGTAGTAAATGACCTGTGCTCCACAGTGTATCACTTCCATCACATTGGTAAACATGTCTGTTGAGTATACTTCTTCTTGTGCCATTCCTGGTTTGACATTATTATCAGAGTATCATTAAATAAGGTAATTTCTGTTGTTATGACTTCCCGTGGAATCTTGAATGATTTTGATGTATGTGAGACACTGTCATAACACAGCTTGCAAGGTGGTATTTACTTCTACCAAATCAAATTATTTTTTGTAGTCTATAAACAGTAAGTAAAATTAGATCTTACATTGTTCACATTCTTCATTTAATTGAAAATAGTAAAAAAAAATCTAGTTCATTTTGAATATTGCTTGTGAAAATCTGCTTATTCTTTAGTAATACTCTCATCGATGGCTCTCAGAAAAAAAAATTGTATATTTGGGAAAGTAGGCGTAGAAGCTATGAGTTATAGATGTTCTTTTGACCAACTTCTTAGTATTAATAAAGTCCAGGATGTTTTTCCCACATGGATCTTTTCTCTATATACTTGGTCCAATCTTGGTCCTGTGTTTCTACTGGTTAGTACCTCCTCTATGAGCATATCCAGGGCTATAACCTTCAGATCCAAGATCTGCTGTCCTTGGTTGAAAAAAAGTTTGTTAAAATGTTTTTGCTAAATCTTTCTCCATTTTTCCTATTTATTTCTGTTTTTTTCACTTTCATTTTCGTCCTTAAATGTCTTTGGAATGACTTTGTTTAATCATTGGCTTTCATCCTTTTTCAGAGTTGTTGTTCTATTTATTCCATATTTCAAAGTTTATATTCTAATATTGTTGCCTTTGGGGGTTGTCTTTCACTGATTAACAAGTAAATCAGATTTTTGATGACTAAGGTACCTCCTGAGTTCTGCTGCTTTTTTTTAAATGATTGATTTACCTGAGTTAAACTTTTGGAAAAAAATTACTATTGTCATATTAATGTAATATATGTTGTTCCTTTCCCATGTTTTATTTCTAATTATTTGTTGAAGAATTCAGAATTCTATCAATTTTATACCATATATTTTTTCTTCCTTATTCTTAATTTTTTTTACTCATTCTACTCTGAGCCCTGATGAATGAGTACATGCAGCCAAAACAGGAATAACTCTACATCAATATCAAGTCTTTTCCTGTCTGATAGAGTATAATCTGTTTCATTCTTTGTAATGTTTTTTGGTGGTCACCATGTCCAGCACCTAATGATTATTTTTTTTCTTCAAAAATATAAAGGTGTGAGGTTTCTGCATAATCTGTAAGTCTTTGGCCTTGTACCTTCATCATTGCTGAATTATGCTTTTCCATATATTTTTCTCCATCCTCACCTTTTTCACTTTGTAGTCACCAGATATCAGAGTATATTTTGAAATACTCATAAGATACTTACGAATTGTTTCATGAAAGTTATCTACCACTTCCTCCTCAGGAAGCCATGTTGATGAATGAACTGCAATTATTTTCATAATGTTCCATTTTGGGGGCAAATACTTATCATTAATGATAATCCAATGAGATAATACACATAAAGCCTTTCACAAGCATTAGAGTGCTATAATATGTGCTATAAATAGTGCTATAAAATATGATGACCCAATATCCCATGAAATAATCTTCTCGCCGCCTTTGGGTATATGATAAAACCCCGTCTGCCAACCCTTTTCTTTGCCTCCACAAGGAATATCTGTGAGCTACCCTTTCATTTAGCAGCTATTTTCTTCTTCCTCTTGGTTCATTCATAGCAATAATGTCAAGATTGATATGATCCAACTCTTCTAGAAATGTGTTTATTTATTATTGGATAAGGATTTCACATTTAACATACTAGTAGTTAAATTAAAATTTTCTCAAAATCAACATGTTCAAAATGGAATTCATGTCTTCTAAAAACACTTACCCACCTCCTCCTATTCTTGCTGGTAACACCATCATTCTCCTCACTTCCTATGCTTCCCAAGAATTTAGACTTGTCTCTTTTCCTCTCTGTAAACAATCAGTGGCCAACTGATATCTTCTCCACCTCTAGATTGTCTTTAGCATTCAACAGTGCTGTACTTTGTGTCTTTAATTTACCAAATTCAATAAATATTTATTAATTTCTGTCCTTTCATATTGCCTCTCCATGAGTTTGGGGCCTCAACACTTTTTGCCTAGATGGCTGAAATAGCTTCCGAATTGGTTTCTCTGCTTCTAGTCTCTGTCTTCCACCCAGCTGCCAAGTAAGTACTGCTAACATAGAGTCCTAACCAATGTCAGATATATGCACTCACAGCAATAGCACAGTATTTGTTTTTAGGATAAAATGCAAATCTTCACTCTGGCAACTAAAACCTTCCATTATCTGGCTCCCTTCTCCCTTTACAGTCATACCATTTCCTGGTGCTCTAGTCAAACAGATTTCCTTGCTCTTCACCTCTCATAGCATTCTACTTCTTGCTCCTGGGCCTATGCCCAAGTGGTCACTTCATCTGAAATGCCTCCCCTCCTCATGCCCATCTTGGGGAATTACTAGGATCCTTTCCTTGATATTCTTGAAAGATGATGTCTAGGCTATTTTTTTGATCATGGCTTTCAGGTAGTCCAATAATTTTTGAATTATCTCTCCTGGATCTATTTTCCAAATCAGTTGTTTTCCAGTGAGATATTTCACATTGTCTTCTATTTTTTCATTCTTTTGGTTTTGTTTTACAATTTCTTGATTTCTCATAAAGTCATTACCTTCCATTTTCTCCATTCTAATTTTTAAGGGAGTATTTTCTTCAGTGAGCCTTTGGACTTCCTTTTCCATTTGGCCAAATCTGCTTTTGAAATCATTCTTCTCCTCATTGGTTTTTTGGACCTCTTTTGCCATTTGGGTTAGGCTATTTTTTAAGGAGTTATTTTGTTCAGTATTTTTTTTGGGTCTCCTTTAGCAAGCTGTTGACTTGTTTTCCATGATTTTCTTGCATCACTCTCATTTCTCTTCTCAGTTTTCCCTCTACTTCTCTTACTTGTTTCTCAAAATCCTTTTTTTAAAAAAAAATTTTATGTATTTATTTCAAATATAAATTTATTTATTTTTAGTTTTCAACATTTACTTCCACAAGATTTTGAGTTCCAAATTTTCATCCCATCTCACCCTTCCCCCACCCCAAGATGGCATGCATTCTGAATACCCCTTCCCCTAGTCTGCCCTCTCTTCTATCTCTCCCCCCCTTTTCTTATCACCTTCCCCTTCTATTTTCCTGTAGGGCAGGATAGATTTCTCTATCCCATTTTCTGTATTTCTTATTTCCCAGTTGCATGGGAAAACTTTTTTTTAAACATGTGTTTTTAAAACTTTGGGTTCCAAATTTTCTCCCTCCCTCCCCACCCACCCTCATTGAAAAGGCAAGCAACTCAATATAGGTTATACCTGTGCCATTATGTAAAACACTTCCATACTATACGTGTTGTGAAAAACTAACTCTATTTCCCTTAATCCTAACCTGCCCCCCCTTTTATTCTATTCTTTCTTTTGACCCTGCCCCTCCTCAGAAGTATTTCCTTCTGATTACCCCTTTCCCAGTCTGCTTTCCTCTCTATCATCCCCCTGTGCTCTTGTCCCCTTCTCCCCCTATTTTCCTGTAAGGTAAGACAGATTTCCATATCCAATTGAGTGTGTATGTTATTCCCTCCTTAAGCCAAATCTTATGAGAATAAGATTCACTCATTCCCTCTCACTTTCCCCCATTTCCCCTCCACTGTAAGAGCCTTTTCTTTTCTGTTTTTTTTTGTGAGAGAGTTTACCTCATTCTACCTCTCCCTTTCCCCTACTCCTAGTATAATCCTCTCTCATCCCTTAATTTTATTCTCCAGATCTGACCCCTTCATTTTCAACTCACCCTATGCCCTCTCTATCTATCTATCTATCTATCTATCTATCTATCTCTATCTATCTATCTATCTATCTGTCTGTCTATCCATACATACATATAATTTTCTCCCTCCATCTACCCTAATACTGACAAAGGTCTCATGAGTTATAAATATCATCTTTCCATGCAGGAATGTAAACAGTTTAACCTTAATAAGTCTCTTATGATTTCTTTCCTGTTTACCTCTTCATGTTCTACTTGAGTCTTGTATTTGAAAGTCAAATTTTCTATTTAGCTCTGGTCTTTTCATCAAGAATGCTTGAAAGTGGGGCAGCTAGGTGGCACAGTGGATAGAACACTGGCCCTGAAGTCAGGAGGACCTGAGTTCAAATCCAGCCTCAAACCAAACCCTTGACACGTACTAGCTGCGTGACCCTGGGCAAGTCACTTAACCCCAATTGCCTAAAAGCAAAAAAAAAAGAAAAGGAAAGAAAAAAAAGAAAAGGAATGCTTGAAAGTCCTGTATTTCCTTGAATGACCATTTTTTCCCCCTGAAGGATTATACTCAGTTTTGCTGGGTACGTGATTCTTGGTTGTAATCCTATCTCCTTTGCCCTCTGGAATATTATATTCCATGCCCTGGGGTCCCTTAATGTAGAAGCTGCTAAATCTTGTGTTATCCTGATTATGTTTCCACAATACTTGAAT